GGCTCGAAGCCTGCTCAGCATCCGAGATCTGACGAGAGCTGGCGCATTCAGGAATGATTTGGCAACAGGCAAGCGGTACAATTCACGAGGTTATTGCTCGTGGTATTAAATAACACTGCGGGTAACAACCTTGCAGGATTATTTGTTTTGTTTGCACGAAACCCACACATGACAAGGGCCCGGGCCCGACTCAGCTTCCAAGAGATGACGAGACCAGTGAGATGCTTCCAGCTGCTTCCAGCTTGCTTCGTTTTAATTTGTCTCATTTCTTGGCTGTGCAGATTTTGATTATTAGTACATTTTCCCAAGCTTTCCATTCCGCTCCTTTGATGTAATGTTTCCGAACGGGACTGCGCGTGAAAGCTGCACCGCACGTTATTGAACGTGCGCGCAGGGTTTTGTGGCATGCTGTGATCATTGTCAAAAGGTATTGGGCATAGTGAGTGGGTGGGTGCTCTTATAAAAATAAACGCGTACCAGTATGTTTACCAATGTGCTCGCATACCCGGTGGATTCAGCCCCTGCGCAACCGGGGGTTAGCACCCCGAATCCAGAGGTCGCTGGTTCGATTTCCCGGGGTGGCGGTCGAAACAATGGTGTAAGTTTGTGAAGTCACCCCACCACCTCTGTCCACCCAGCGGAATATAAAGGGTGCAACCACTGTTCGATGATTGGAAGGTCCCGCGCGGTGGGGTAATGTCTTAGCCAGCGTAGAAGAGTAGGCCAACTACCCTTTGGAAGGGGTATTTCTTCTCTAGAGCTGCCTATCGACAGCATTTAGCATGAGCTCAAAATCGCAAACCTGCACTTTTACTTTTTTTATTACAGTATCCAGAGAAAAGGAGAAATTCCTGAAATATCCCAAGCATTGCTGCCCAATAGGAATGTTTGTATTCCTTCGAGGTTATTAAATTATTTACCCTTAAAGCAATCTGTTAAAGTGGACGTCTTGTCTGGTTGACCCTGCAGTATTAAGTTACAATTAGACATTCCATTAATCTTCCAAGACACAGCATCTTAAAACAGTCTACTCTGCAAACCACAATCCCAATGAACAACTATGGTGAAGGCAGTACAGCAAGCAGGTTTATGAACCATATGTGCATCAGTTTGTTCTCCTCTCAAATAATTGACATTTTTCTGGGCACTATGGTTTCCTCCTACAATTGAACATACTAATAAAACGATCTGGCCGCTGTGACGAGATGTTAACTACCTCGCCTGGTATACAGCAGGTCGTGGGGTGTATGTTTGGAGTTTGAATGTTCTCCTCCGTGGTCCCGTGGACTTTTATTCGGGTCCTCCGGTTTTTTCCCTCAAAATTTAGAAACGTGCGTTTAGAGTATTTGGCTGATATAAATCTCCACATGATAAGTTATCATTTGTGGCCAGATTGCTTTTGAAAAACAGCTATATAGCTCAGTGGGCCTTACCTGGTAAAATTAAAATAGTTTGTAAGTTTAGTTTTAAAAGTTAAAACAGGACTCTCATATAAAGAAGTCTCTACACCCAGCGGAAGCGTTGCCTGTGCAAATAAATAAATAAAAATAACTCTATCAGCACCTTTGGGACCATCGCACCCCGTGGGCCCTGCACAGAGGTAGGCAGCCTTGTACACCCGAGGTTAAAAAAGAAAAATGGATATTATTGCTTTGATGATGATAATGAAAACTTCAAAAGAAAAATATCACGACCAACACAGCGTGTAGAGGCCTTCAACCAGCAGTGGATAGACTGTAAATGAATGAATTAATGAACGATGAATATGATGATGATGATGATGCAGCATTTAAAAATGCACTCCTTTAAATGTTTAGACGGGTCACACTCACTCGAATCACCAAGTTACATTTCTGGAGTGGACAATTTTTATTTCCCTGATTTTTTTGTACATTGCTCATCCTTAAATTTCGATATAAAGCTTTCGTGACTGCAAGGATTCATCTTCTTTGGTTCTTTCGGTAAAGTCACGTAGAATGAGAATAAAATAATAAATTAATAAAATAAAATAACACGATAAAATTCTCACGACGTTTCGGCCACAACACAAGTGGCCTTCATCAGGTGAAGGGACGAGACTGTCTGGAGGACAGCGCTGGAGCGAACACAGCCAAGCTCAGACCGCGACCTTTAAGCTGTGTGAGAAGAAACAGAGCGCCTTGACAAAAGAATTAGCATAAAAATTTGCATTTAATTGGCGGACTTAGCATGATGAACGGTGTAGAGGGGGTGAACATGTGCAGACCGGCGAGGGGGGGAAGGGGAGTTTACATATTGATGGTGTGAAAAGGGAATTTAAGCTGCTGCGAAAGTTTGGGATACCACTACTTGAAAAAATATACTGTACCATTGAAAATTAGTTTAATGTTTGGTTCGGATAATTTAGCATTGAAATAGCTGCGTGATTAGCTTGTGACTGGTCACAGAAATGGCTATGTTAAAGTCAAAGCCTACACATCCACAGAGGCACCTAGTACAAATCAAACAGGATAATTTAGCATTGAAATAACTGGGGGATTAGCTTGTGACTGGTCACAGAAATGGCTATGTTAAAGTCAAAGCCTACACATCCACAGAGGCACCTAGTACAAATCAAACAGGACAATTTATCATTGAAATAACTGAGGAATTAGCTTGTGACTGGTCATAGAAATAGCTATGTTAAAGTTAAAGCCTACACATCTACAGAGGCACCTAGTACAAATCAAACACGAGAATTTAGCATTGAAATAACTGAGGGATTAGCTTGTGACTGGTCATAGAAATAGCTATGTTAAAGTCAAAGCCTACACATCTACAGAGGCACCTAGTACATGGACGCCAAAGGGGGCTGCAACCACTCGACTATCATATAGCACCTCGCAGCTGTCTCTCTCCCCCTTCTCCGTTCCGACCATGGATGAACTCGTCCGTCTGAACGGGGCTCGTAGCTATCCGTGGTGCTAAAGTTGAAGGTAAGAATCCACCCATTGTTTCGCCATATAGCATTGTGATATATAACGACTTATTGTTGGTAGCTTAGCTGATTGGAGAATATATAGAGTTTATTGATAACATCGAGGTAGTTTATATTTTAGTTTTTTATTGGTTTATTATATGGTATTCATTATATAGTGTAGTGTATACCCAGTTACTGTTAATAGTTCAGCTTATTGAAGAATATATTGAGTACATTTATTATATTGATGTAATTTAGACTTAGGTTTTTTCACATCGGTTTACTATATGATAGTCGAGTGGTTGCAGCCCCCTTTGGCGTCCATGTACTAGGTGCCTCTGTAGATGTGTAGGCTTTGACTTTAACATAGCTATTTCTGTGACCAGTCACAAGCTAATCCCTCAGATATTTCAATGCTAAATTCTCCTGTTTGATTTATACTAGGTGCCTCTGTGGATATGTAGGCTTTGACTTTAACATAGCGATTTCTGTGACCAGTCACAAGCTAATCACTCAGCTATTTCAATGCTAAATTCTCCTGTTTGATTTGTACTAGGTGCCTCTGTGGATGTGTAGGCTTTGACTTTAACATAGCTATTTCTATGACCAGTCACAAGCTAATCCCTCAGTTATTTCAATGCTAAATTCTCCTGTTTTATTTGTACTAGGTGCCTCTGTGGATGTGTAGGCTTTGACTTTAACATAGCCATTTCTGTGACCAGTCACAAGCTAATCACGCAGCTATTTCAATGCTAAATTATCCTAACCAAACATTAAACTAATTTTCAATGGTACAGTATATTTTTTCAAATAGTTATATCCCAAACTTTCGCAAGCAGCTTAAATTCTATTTTCACACCATAAATATCTAAACTCCCCCTCCCCCCCTCGCCGGTCTGCACATGTTCACCCCCTCTAACACCGTTCATCATGCTAAGTCTGCCAATTAAATGCTAATTTTTATGCAAATTCCTTTGTCAAGGCGCTCTGTTTCTTCTCACACAGCTTAAAGGTCGCGGTCTGAGCTTGGCTGTGTTCGCTCCAGCGCTGTCCTCCAGACAGTCTCGTCCCTTCACCTGATGAAGGCCACTTGTGTTGTGGCCGAAACGCCGTGAGAATATTATTGTGTTATTTTATTTTATTATTTTATTATTTTATTCTCATTCTACGCGACTTTACCGAAAGAACCAAAGAAGATTGCTCATCCTTGCTTTGGTTCCCAGGTTATACGCGGAATGACAAAACACCTTTCAAAAAGTCGCTCAACGCATTTCAGGATCCAGCTCAGGACCTTGAACCATCATCTGGAGCACAACCAATTCTCGTTTCACCAGCCTCAATTTATACACAACCATGAGAAAACATGTTTTTTTTTTAAATTCGTGAACAGGGAATGATGCAATCACAGGAAATGGCACTATCACCGGAAGACACAACATACAAGCATCTAACGATGCCACAAAAAGTAATGAAACTGAATTAATATTAGTCCAGCAGAGGCTGGATCTAAGTGCGCCCCTGGGTGGCAAGGCCATCTGTACGTATGCTTCCATAAGACATTTCCCTTCGCCTTATCCCCATGCATGTCACGTGAGGATGTACTTGATATCAAATCAGTTGCGCTTTCGTTCCCCGCATCAACTGCACTGCAATTGACTGTTTCCCGTTCCGAGACGTGTGCAACTTGCAGGGTGGGCTCCGTTCACCGCTGAATTTCGGACCGTGCAAAGTGGTTCAGCGTGAATTTTATTTAGAAAGGCGTAGCGCCGTCGTTTTAAAAAGACATTGCACTCACCGCAGAGAACTGTAACGGACACGGCTGCACTGTATAGCTGGCGCCAAACTGTGGCACGCCCCTCCCGCGTGGCCTTGTGGGAGCCTCGGTACCGATAAAGTTATTTTATTTGAGTGTACGTCATCGGAACGGAATCGGAAAAGAAAAACCGATGACGTACACGGACGTTATCGGAATTGTAAAGGGCTCACAGTGCCCGTGACAAGGGAGTAACCACCACGACGCCTCTTCCCCTCCCCTCCGCCGGCCACGACACGAAGGACTCACCGGTCTCGCTCTTCTCGATGACCTCGACGGGCTGGCCCGCGTGCAGGCTGATCTCGCCGCCCTGCTGCCGCTCGTAGTCGGCCACCGCCACGCACATGTCGTCCGCGTCGCCCTCCGTGTCCCCGTCTGCCGGGGGGGTCAGACACGCCGTGAGCCAGCGCGACGCCATGGCCGGCACGCGAGCGGCCGCACGGGCGGCGCAGAGCCGGTGGGCGCACGAGCGGCGGCCGGGGGCGTGCGGCGCCGTGCCGATCGTGCTCCGGTTGAAGCGGAGGGCCACCGCCCCGGCCGGGTCAATCGCGTGAACCGGCCGGGTTTCAAGCGTGCGGTGAATAAGTTCTTCTTTATTTTGTCCAAGGGTCCACTTGTTGACGATTGTCACGACGACTGAAATAATATATATTGTCTCTGATATTAGGGTGAAGCGATGCGAGCGTTGGCTTTTATTGGTGAACGCCAAACAGTACGGCGGTTTTTCCTTCGCAGTTTACTTTTCGGACCAAAAAACGATGCCAAATCCTAGGAAGCTTGCAGCGATAAAACTCCGTCCTTGAGAACACGTTGAAACATCAAAGGATTTTTATTTTTAAATCAAAATAATTTCCCTGCGAATTATTCTTGCCGATTTATTTTTGGTCTGGCTAATCAGCATTACTTTTGTTTAGCCAATGATTGTTCATTTACTTTTCCATTATTATATTTTTATTTCAGCCACGATGCCTCGCGTCCCTGTTACTTATTCACGCGCAATTGAATGTCTTACTTCACTGGGATGCATCAAGTCACGTCAAGTGGTGGTCGCTGCCCACACTCCCACACAGCACTGTTTGGTTTTTCAACCCCCCAATGTTTCTGTTTATTTTTCCCCCCGAATCGATGCGCTTGCGAGTGTTCCCGGCAAAACACACTACACGCTCTCCTCGCGAGTCTCCGGCTATTCTGCTGGCCCAGCTATGATGCTCACGGGCCACAACGAAAGACACTTCCCTCCCTCCTCCTCCAGCCATCTTTCAACTTGTCTTCCTCCTCCAGAGAATCCATCACAAAGCTGAATAATGTTTTTATGAAGTTCATTCATTCCCATTTCCTAGTAACTGGCTACCACTTTCACGAAGCCTGTGTATGTTACAATGTCTGTTCTTTGTCCTTGTTTTAAATAATATTATTGTTGTGTTCCCCACTGCACACAATTATTCTTATTTGCTCTGCTCTAATCCCTTAATCTGTCTGTTTAATCTGCTGAGCTTCACGTATTAAATGTTTGGATTTGTATGACACGCACAGGACACGGGCTGTGTGTACTCCTGTGAAGATGAATCTCTTGATGTGCTATACCACGTTTCTAAAAGGCATTACAAGTACCGGCTACTTTGCAGCTGAATTAGCCTATCATTTATTTTACCGCGTCACCCGTATCAATTACAGTGGTCACTCCTAATGGCTTGGCAGCATTCTAACAGTAAGCTAAACCTTTCTAAAGGCATTAAGCCATTCGAAAATGTAAAACATGCCAAAGTAATTTAAAAAAAATCACATTAAAAAAACACATTTTGCATGCAATGAGACGAATAAAATGGAATGTGTGTAAAACACACGGATACTTGATGTATTTATTCAAAGACCCATTCCGATAAAGTGATCTTTACCGATTCATTATAATCCCCTGTAAAAATTACAGTGCAGATGAAAAAACTTGTGCTCAAAACGATGCGCAAATCACTATTCTGACCTAGCTTTAGCAAAAAAAGCAGATGTCGACCTTCCCATGATTATGGTGTTCCCAGTCAGTCTCAGTGACCCACATTGCAACATTACTATCAACACAGTCCATCCTTAAGCCCCCCCTCCTGCCCTGCCCCCGCAAGATTTTCTTTCTTTCTGCAATTGTTTATTTCTCCAGCGCACGCTGAGGGGCAACACGTTGACTCCTCGGCTCAAAGGAAGAGAAACAGCCATCCCGACGGGCAAGCGGCCACGTGAGCAACCAAAGCCCTCTCCCGATGGTTTTGCCACGTGTTGGGGGGCGAGGGGAGCCTCTCGCGAGCGATTCCCTGATTTTGCCACGGAGCGCGCGGGATCTTCAATCGGCGCGAGAGTTTTCCTGTCGGGCGAGGACAAACAGCTCCTCGCCCCCTCTCGCCCTTCTCCTCCTCCTCCGCAGCGCGCCGCTCGAGCCAAGCATCACAAGCAGTCCGATGTTTGGCACCGCTGCCGTTTGCAGCCCCTCCCCTTGTCGTCTCTTTCCACCCGTCCTCCGAAAGGTGACACCCCCGACGGCTCAGTAGCGCCTGCAACAATGCCCGGCCAGTCCGCCACGGTCACCGTGTCGCCTTTGCGTCCGGCAAAACGGCGATGACAGCCTTCCACCCGACGATCGTAGAGCCTTTCATCTCGAGCGGTGTGCACGGGGGGGGGGGGGGTGTGGGATGGGGGAGCCTTCGCAAAAGTTCCGGGCCCCACCGGTGCTTGCTTGCTCGCTCGCCCGCTTGCTCGCTCGCTCACTCTTGCTTGCTTTGGGCAAAGTAAAATCCCACTCGGGTGCGCTGGCCAAGAGCAGACGCCTCGCGCGGGCAGCGCAGCGGGGCCGGCAGCGGCAGACGAGCGGCCGTAGGAGTCTCTGCCGGCTGCCGCATGGCAGCAGGGACGGAGCGCGGATGAGCCGCTAAGTCGGAGGGGGCGGAAGAGGTGGGGGGGGGGGTGGTGCTTGCTCCACGGTAAAGCACAATTGTTGCGATTCGATCACATGGCCCGGATTGAGTGCGGTGGGATCGTGCTGCTCGAGAGAGGAGGGCGACTGGGAGGAGGGGTGGTGGGTAGGCGGAGCTCGGTCGGCCCACTTAGTTTTTTTTGGGTCGAGTGACGCCGGACTTACGCAGCCCACACTTGGGTTGCTCGCTAAGTGCCGGAGGGGCCCCCACGGGCACGCTGCTGCTGCTCGGTCGAGACACAAAGAAGAAAAAACGAGGAGTGTTTTTTTTTTATTCCTCTACCCCGCCCCCTTTGCGCCGTGGTGCTCGCTCGTGGATTTTTTTTTTACCGGAGCGTCCGCAACGAAGCAAAGCCAACGTTTATTCCTCGCAGTGTTTGGTTTGAAAATCAGTTGTTGCACGTGTTAATAATCACTGTCAGCTACAATCGATGCGCTCAAGCAGCTGCGGGTGATTTTGGCGTAATTGAAGTTTGGGCGATGCGCGCTTCAAAAAACGGTTTTGAACTTTTCCTTTCGCGGACACGTGGAACAAAGCCAAAACAAAACGGCTATTTCCGTCGATGACGCCCGATGGACGCTCGTGATGAAGCCAGAGGCTGGAGGCTTCCACCCTGGCAGCGTTTCGAGCTGAATTTGTTGTTGTTTCCGTCTTGTTCAAAACGCGAAATTCATTTTAAAAAAACGGCCACATTTTGTTGACGCCTTGCGCCCGATTTGTGGACAGCGAGAGACAGAGAGAGACAGAGAGACAGCGAGAGAGAGAGACAGAGAAACGAAAAAAAAATTTGGCTGGCGGTGGTCGGACAGAGAGCAGGAGTTAGTTCTGCGTTTGCAATCTCGCCTTTTTGACCCTCCGCCAACCAACGCTGTCGCTGTAACATTTGGAAGACTGCTCTTGGCAGGCGGCCTGGGGTGGTGGGTGGGGGTCGTCAGCGATTCAAAAAACCAGCGCCCTTTTTTAAATTTAGTTTTGACGCTAGCTCGCCGAGACGAACTTGCCTGCACGGGGTTCAGCGGTTTATGCAAAGTCCTCGCGTGCGGCCAGCCGGACGGAGAGGGATGATTTTAATGTCTTCCCCCTCGGAGCGCCGTGGCGTCGTAAGCAAAGTGGCTCTGGCGATAGCGCGAAATGCTCGCAAGTGGAAAATTGCTCGGCGGTCGGGGGACCAGCGCCCGGTGATGGACTCGGGGGGGGGGGGGGGGACGAAGCCAGCCGAGACAGCAGATTCAGACACCGCAACGCATCAACGAGAGACGGTTTTTCCCAGCCCTTGCACGATTTAGATACGCACGTACGTATGCACGCCGAGGAATATATCGCGTTTGCTATTCCACGCACCTCTGATTAGCGCGGTTGGCTATGTACGGTGCGAAAGAAGTTCAACAAACGTCCTGTGCATATTCCGTGCAATGAATGCACATTACCCGCCACGACGTACGGGATCACAAATCCATGGATGTTAACAGAGGAACCGATCAGAAGCTGAAAGGTACACAAATGACCACTGGGTGGTGCATGCTTATAATTACGCGAGCAGGTTGAAAGGGGAACACGCGGACCAGAGAACAAAACAAGTTGGAGATGTCATTGATTGTTGAAGAAAATCAAGTCGGCTTGGACGGTGCAGGTCACGAGATGATGGCCATGAAACGAGACTCACGACAAAGTGGCGACCAGAGGAGGAAAAATGTGGAAGAGGCTTCCACCATGGAGATGGAGCGATGAAATCTGCTGGTGTGCTTTGCGTAGACGGATTGTTACGTCCAGCAGTGGATTGATCACTGCACTGGGGCACGTTGTACTGCAAAACACAACTGACTATTACGTTGTAGGATCGTGGGAGATGGGGGACAGCTTGGGGATGGATTGCCTTCACCCAGCAGTGGACTGACCTCTGCTGACGACGACGACGATGACAATGATGACGAAACAAAATAATTACTTTGTGAAGAATGCGGGGCATGTAAACAGCTGCTTGACTGAGTGATATGTAATCACTTGGGTCCAATGGAAATCTGCTCTGCGTGCACCCAGCACCAAGCACACACGGCACTGGGACTATTGCGCGCATCTACGCCTGTTCAGGCGATGATGACAAGGTAACAGCGGCCGTCTGCCTCTGCTGGGCGGTAATGTTTGAGCGCCGTAACGCCCTTGACAGACGTGCACCAACACGTCAATTTCATATATCCTGCTGCGGGAATGCGGTCCAGAGAATTATCCACTTCTGCCGTCCCAGTGGCGCTTCGCGGATGAAGCTGCGAACCGTCAAAGCCGATAGCGAACATCCGCTAGTTAGCGACGAATTTGCTCCCAAGCAAAACACAGCGACGGCAGATAATTACAGAAACACTCTCGCGAAGGCAGATAAATGCAATGGGAGAGGGGCTTGGGTTGGTGGTGTATACCTTCCAC